GTAGTCGTAGTAGTAGTCGTAGTAGTAGTCGTAGTAGTAGTAGTAGTAGTAGTAGGAGCTTTTGTAGTAGTAGTAGCAGTAGAGTGGGGATACGAATAGGTAGTAGTACTAGTAGTAGAGTGGGGCGGCCCCTGGGGGCCCCAGGACGAAAAGAACCTCGAGCAGGTCCTTGGCACGTGGGTCCCAGCGATGGTTTTCTTCTTCGGCGCTGACTTCCAGGTCCCAGAGCGCCCCAGGAACGCCCCAAGAGTCTGGACGCCCAAAATGGGTGTTGAAAGAATGGGTACAATGCCCAACAGCAGTTCCTGTTCAATTTGGACAGGGTTCGCTGTCCACGCCGCCGCGGCCTGTGTCCATTTGAGACAGAGGGCCGCCTGCCCAACAGCGGCCGCTGTTGGTTTGGGACAACATTTGCTGTTGGGCATTGTACACATTTTTTCGGTATCCATTTCGGGCGTCCAAAAAGAGAGCCGAGACGCCCCCGAGACGATCCGAGGGGCCCTGAGTCGCCGAAAGATCGTTCCAAGACGCCCAAGATGGCCTCCAGACAGCCGTAGCGCCAAGAAACCGCGGGGAGCCTCAGGAGGCCCTCCAAGAGCCTGAACAAGCAAAAACCTCCCAGGCATTCGTCAACCCAGGGCCTCCTGGAACGCCCCGGCGCCCAATGAATTGGCGAGCTAAAAACGTGCGCCGAGCCAAAGCGGGAGCGAAACTATTTCGCTCGGCGCCCAAGCGGGAAGGTCATTTCATTCACTTCGAGCGGAGGGGGAGGGGGGTGTGCCGCGCCCAATGTTTGCTATGCACTTTTGCGGGGTGGACGACAAGAACAGCTATGTGGGCAGGGACAATCAGCATGGCATTACTTCTGACAAGTAAGGTGGCCCCTCCCGCCTTGGGGTTGCCCCAGAAGTCCGCGCGCGATGTGCGCCGCGCCCCATTCCTGCCACGCATTTCGGATTGTCGACGACAAGACAGGCCATGATGAAAGGAAAAACGGCAACTCTGTATTGTTTTTTACAGTCAGGATGGGAGGGCCCGCAGCCCGCATGGACGTCCGCGCGCGATATGCGCCGCGTCCCATTCCTGCCACATATTTCGCACCGTCGGCGACAAGGCAGGCCATGCTGAGAGCAAGAAACGGAGAGTTTGTATGAATTTTTTACAGTCAAGATGGGCGGGCCCAGGATTTACGGCCGCGCGCGATGTGCGCCGCGTCCCACATCTGCGCTGCCACATGTTTCGCACCGCCGGCGACAAGGCAGGCCATGCTGAGAGGAATAAACGAAGACTTTGTACTGATTTTTTACAGTCAGGATGGGCGGGCCCAGATTGACTGCCACGCGCGATGCGCGCCGCGTCCCATTCCTGCCA